ATGACATATAGTTCACTATACTGAGTTGGGAATGTAGGGCTAAGGTTCATGTCATTATGAAGCTCTTTTCTTATTTCCAATGATGAAAGCCAAAAGAGAGAACAAGAGGAGGGGAAAAAAAAAGACTGACCTTTTTGATCAATTTAAGAACAATGAGTGTGGTCATGGGAGTGGTGAAATGTTTCTTTCCCCCTCCTTTTTGAAATGTTCTTGATGTTGCTAGTAGCGGTATTATTCCTGTAGATTGCAATCCTCTTTGTTGGTTTTGTGTGCAATGTTAGTTGCCTTGCCAGTCTCAAGTTGGCACTGTGGGTTTTCTCTAATCACTAAGCTGAGAAGAAAAAGAGTGCTTGGGAGTCACCCACACACCCACACGCACGCACACTTGTCCGTTATTTTAGATTGTCTTTGGGACAGAACAAAACTTTGGCATTTGGCTCGTCTATTATTCTGGGTTGTCTCATGAAAGCAGCCTCCTAGCCATTACCTTAAAGTATATATATATATATATATATATATATATATATATATATATATATATATATATATATATGTCATCATGTTTCTTATACTTTTTATGACGTAAAAAACAAAATATAGGTAGCCCTCAACTAAGAACACAACCGAGCCCAGAATTTCTATGGCTAAGTGAAACATTTGTGTTAAGTGAGTTTTGCCCCATTTTACAACTTTTCTTGCCACAGTTGTTAAGTTGAAGCACTGCAGCTGGTAAATTAGTAACACGATTGTTAAGTGAACCTGGCCTCCCCATTGACTTTGCTTGTCAGAAGTTCGCAAAAGGGGATCACGTGACCCTGGGACACTGCAACCGTCATAAATATGAGTCAGTTGCCAAGCATCTGAACTTTGATCACGTGACCCTGGAAATGCTTCAACAGTCATAAGTGTGAAAAATGGTCATAAGTCACTTGTTTCAGTGGTTATGTACTGTAACTTTGAATGGGCACCAAATGAACTGTTGTAAGTCAAGTATTAGGGTTTTTTTAAAAATTATTATTATTATAAAGTATGTGCTATTTTCAAGTTGAGAGTGTATCTTGCATCAGGTGAATGTGTGTGACAATTATATAGACAAGCATCTTTGTATGAAGTGCCAACTTCAGCTTTCTGCTGGGATGTCAGGGAGCACAATATATCTACGTTTAATTTTTCCCTTAAAAAAAAATCTTTCACAAAAGAAAGAACATTTTAAAGCTAAGGTCTTTCTTTTGATGGAGTTGTTAAGTAATATTGTTTTTTGGTATGTTATTATCTATTTGGACTTAAAAAAAACACAATGATTTAGATAAATGTCTATGGAGAGTCTCAGTCATCCAGGTCATAGTTGTCTCAAAGGTGTTTTTTCAAGAGGCAACTAGACTATCTTGTTTTCCTTTGAAGACGTTTCGCTTCTCATTCAAGCTTCTTCAGCTCTGACTGGATGGTGGGGAATGGAAGGGTTTATAATTCAATGTTTCTCAACCCTGACAATTTTAAGGCATGTGGACTTCAACTTCCAGAATTCCACAGCCAGCAATTCTGGCTGTGGAATTCTGGGAGCTGAAGTCCACATGCCTTAAAATTTGTCAAGGTTGAGAAACACTGGTTTATATTCTTTGCAGACAGCTGGTCATTTGCATTCTGTCTGCAAGGAGTATTAAATCCTACCATTCCCCACCATCCAATCAGAGCTGAAGAAGCTTTTTGGATGAGAAGCAAAACGTCTTGAAAGAAAAACAAGAAAGTCCAGTTGCCTCCTGAAAAAGCACAATTGGGACAATGACTTAGATAGAAAACAAAGTTCTGTATTCTATTTGTGGTTTTGTTTCATAAACAAATAAAACCCCTCTAGAGCTGGGGTAGAAGCTGAGAGGCAAAGTAGCAGCCATTCCTTTTATTCCCCTTTAACCCTTCACTTTGGGCAGATGGGAATATCTATAGTTTATTCTGGTACTCCCTGGCCTCATTTTGGTCTGCTGCACCATTAAGATCTGGTCAAATCTTCGTGCTCAAAGACAGCAAGCAAAAAGCCCACATGATCTTTCAGTGTGAAAGGCAAAATGTTTCCATGTTGCTGAATGAAATAATTCTGCTGCAAAACTTTTTTTAATCACTGTTTTGTTAAAAAGTACCTATTCTCAGTGTGCTTAGGAAGAAGCAAAATGGGACACAAAACTTATCTTGGAGCATTTTATAACTTTAAAAGATTGACTTAATATCTTTTCCAAAGGGCAAATCCCTAAGCGTACCAAACACCAATGTGTGTACACACACAGACACATACAGACACAGGAACACACTGACACAGATAGACACGGACACAGACACACACAGACCCCGCCTACACACACTGGTGGGAGGGGAGATTAAAAATGAAGTTTTATCTGTCTCCAAAAGCCAATAGCCAGAAAATGTTGTTAGATATACAGAACTACTTTTCCAAGTCCTTGTGGTTAGGAAAAAGAAAGTTGAAAAGAAGAGAAATCCTGAAGGATTATGCTTTCTGACCCAAAACATATTAAAAGAACCCTTTGGAAACCGCTATTAAAATTAGATACATTTCGCAAAGACACAATATCAGAGTGTTTGGGGCAGCATTTTAAGGGCTGTAGGTTACGAACTATTCTCCAGTCTAAGGTTAAACAAGTGTACAAATTTACAAGGGGAAATTACCCTGAGTCCTTCTCTGAGCTGCCTGCTGGCCTCTAAGGCTGTCTGTCTGCAGAGATTGGTAAAAGCTCCTGTAGGTTACATGGGACATACCTGTAAACTGTCTTGCATTGGGGAGAGAAGACTAACTCAATCTGTCTTGGGACATGCCATTTTGAACACCATTTTTGATCCAGCTTGAACACAGAACTGGATATGTCAGGGATCTCTTGAGGCTGTGAGTCTTACTAACGCTGCCTTCACCACTGCTATTGTTTTTGCTTGAGCCAAGGTATTTTGAGCTTTGGGCCCCATAAGTTAGAAGCAACCAGGGCAGAATCAACAAGGCTGTTGCTGAAAGTGGTGTCCGAATGGGACCATGTCAGAACAGCTTCAGTTTCCTCCAAAGGCTTCAGAATTGAAACAGAGACATTGAGAATGGGAGGCATAGTGCAAGAAAGGAAAATTGCTGCCTTAAGGACTGTCACATCCCACTAGATGGACCAGACCAGGAAATCAGCTCCATAGGAAGGCTACACTTACGTTTATTGAGACTGCCTAAACAGGTAGTCCTTGGCTTACGATCACAATTGAGCCCAACATTCCTGTTGCCCCAGAATTTTGCCCCATTTTATGACTTTTCTTGCCAAAGTTATTAATTTAATCACTGCAGTTATTAAGTTAGTAACATGGTTTTAAGTGAATCTGGCTTCTCCATTGAATGTGGTCAGAAGGTCACTAAAGGGGATCACATTAGCCGGGGACACTGCAACCGTCATAAATATAAACCAGTTGCCAAGTGCCTGAATTTTGATCAACTGACCTCAGGGATGCTGCAATGGTCATAAGTGGTGAAAAATGATCATAGGTCAGTAATGTTGTAACTTCAGTCAGTCACTAAATGAATGGTTGTAAGCTGAGGGCTACCCGTGATAACAGGATCTTATGAATCTGATTGTCCTCCTCCTCCTCCTCCTCCTCCTCCTCCTCCTCCTCCTCCTCCTCCTCCTCCTCCTCCTCCTCCTCCTCCTCCTCCAGTGAATTAAGGGAGGCTCTGTTTGAACTGCTTCTGAATATTTTCTAGATGTTCTGGATTATTTTTTGTTTTACCCCTTCTTAACTTGGTAATGAAGCTTGCATGTCACCACCCTTAGATTCTACATTGACTGTAGAGATTGCAATGCCTGTTCCTACAATTCTCTCACAAGGAAGTGGATAATAAAGCCATAAAGCCCTCAACATATTGGATTGTTTGAGTTTAGGAGAGAGCATACTGCCATATAAACCAAGAATATTTGGAGCAGCATCTTAAGAACCACACTCATGTTTCCAATTATTTTTGTTCTTCCAATCTAAAATGTTCTCATTAGTCATTGATTTGCCTTCTGTCTATCTGGGATTAGTAACATTTTCTGTTTATTTTCTAGCTATCAAAGGAACCAATATATATATATATATATATATATATATATATATATATATATATATATATATATTACTTTTGCTTTTCACCTGTATATATATTTTTTAATTTTGTTAAGGCTGTCATCCTAGTTGAAGCATTATTATGGATAGTCCTTGACTTATGCCTGGCCACTTAGTAACTGAAATTACAATGGACATCTTCAGGGCTACTTACAACCTGGACTCAAAGTTCCAACAGACAAGATCCTCCCATGGTCACATGATCAGATTTTGGTCACTTAGCAACTGGTCCACATTTATAATTGTTTGCAGCGTTCTATGGTCATGTGGTCATGATTTACAACAGGGGTGTCAAACTTGCAACGTCACGTGACGTGTTGCAATGTATCATGACTTTTTTTCTATTGCCGGCAATGGAGTGGGTGTGGTTTTGCTATGATGCATCTGGTCCGTGGGCCGGCAGTTTGACACCCCTGATTTACAATGTGGTTGGGGTTTTTTATTTATTTTTTTGCCAGAAACTGGGTTTACTTCCGTTTTCCAGCAAAAAATGCCCATTACAGACAATGGATTCAAAAATTCAATTATGGTCATAAATTGAAGTCTACCTGTAGTTGAGTTTTATTTGATTAATGAGTTGCTCAGTCTTCCACCCATCTGATACCTTCAACTATCTAAATCACTTAATCTGTTGAACTTCAACTATCTAAATCACTTAATCTGTTAAATATTACAATGTTGATCCCATAAACATAATTCCCACATATTTCCACACAGGTAGGTGAAAGGCCTGCTTTGCCAGTGTAAAGTAAAGGTCCCAAAGTCATTAAACGACTGCCCAGACTTGTTCTGTGTGAAAAACAGTATCCTAAGAGTAAATGAGCAAACACAGAACAAAAACTAAGCCAAATATTCATAAAACATACGGTTCCTAAATCACGTGAAGACCCGGGAACTGCACACTGATCTGAATGGCATTACTGCATATTCAAAATTCCTGTAATGAAAATCAAAGACAAATCAAACTGTAATCTGATTTGGTAAACAAAGAATAATGTGTGTCTTCTACAGCTGTTCTAAGGATTCAGAAATAGTGGGAATAGGTTAATGATTACAAAGTTCAGCAGACAGAAGTAGACTAAATGTAATCTATATTTAGTAGACTAAATGTAGGCAGCCATCCTCTTTTTTAAACATATATATATATATAGTAAGAATGAATAGAGAGGATGGGGGTATAGAGCCCTCCTGTAATCATCAAAAAATATGGATAGATAATTTGGTTCATCATGTAGACCAGTGTTTCCCAAACTTGACAATTTTAAGGCATGTGGACTTCAACTCCCAGAATTCCACAGCCAGCAATGCTGGCTGTGGAATTCTGGGAGTTGAAGTCCACATGCCTTAAAATTGTCAAGTTTGGGAAACACTGATGTAGACTAACTGATTCTTTTTGTAGCAATCTGGTTCCAATATAGACAGCCAGTGGTTAAGGCACTAGACTAGAAAGTGGGAAACTGTGAGTTCTAGTCCTGCCTTAGCCATGAAAACCAGATGGGTGACTTTGGCCCAGTTGTCTCTCTCAGCCCAACTCAGCCCACAGGATTGTTGTGGGGAAAATAGGAGGAGGCAGCTGTGTTCAATATATTCACTGCCTTATTTGTAAAATAACTTTTGCAAATAATACAAATAAATGAATAAATGTAATTTTGGAGCAAAGCACTAGCATGCCATTTAATCCACGGTTAATGGATCTGTAGATATTGTTTCATCTAAAAGCTCAGCTTTCAGAGAATTGGCAAACAGGTCTTGCTGCCAGACTGCAAGCCAAGCGAATCAGACACTTCAGATATTCAGCCTTGTACTTGGGAACCTGCTTGTGGCAGAAGCTTCCAACAAAGTGGGGATAGCAAATGAAGCTGCTGTCTACTTTTTAGAAGTTTATTTATTGGTTGGTTAAATTTATTTGCTGCCCATCTCGCTGTGGGGTTATTCTGGGCAGCTTACAACAATAAAATGAAAAAGAAAATGTTTTTTTTTTTAAAGTAAACTTAACAGTAGCGCAGGAATGAAACAATAAAAATAAAAAGTGGAATTTGAAGCTTCTATAAATAAACAACGAAAGTTGCATCTATGCCTATGAGAGTTAGGCCTAATTAATGAGTACTGATATTGGAGCAAGCAAAACTACATTCTCACTTCTTATAATTAAGGCATGACATTATATGAGCAAACCCATGCTGAAGTCCTCAGATTGCTAAAACCAGCATATTGACACCAGCAAACTAAACAAAAAAGCTTCCTGAAAGAGAAGTCCATATAGTAAAATGCATGTGAGAGATAAACATCTAAATGCTGGCTTTGAGTTATTAACATTCATTTATGTCCGTTTTAGCAGCCAGTGTGTTTCCATTCTTCAGACCCATGCCAGGCACCCTCAGAGACAATGCTTCAGTGCACCATCCTGACTGCTCTCCTCCAACATGGTGTTCTAAACCATAATGGACTCGGAGTCGTATTTATTTTAATAACTGCTGTTTTTCCTGCCTTAAATCTACAAGACGATTGACTTTATTGGCCTAATTTGGTTTTTACATGAAGTAATCAGTCAGGGAACTCTTGTGGGTGGAAGTGGTTTTCCTCTGTGCAGCTGCCTCCAAAGGGGGGTGGGGGAGAGAAAGGAGTTGAACACGTCTGCTCACGTTTCCTTTTTGGCACAGAGGTCCACCCAAAGCACTGGCCCTCTGGTATCCAGGTCAGATTCCTCTGGCAAACTCCAACTATCAATCCCCCCCCTTTCCCCCACAAACAAAGCAAAAGGCCTTACTGTACCCCTGGGAAGCATCCCTTCTTCGTAAGGAAAAACAAATAAAGCAGAATCTTTGAAATAATGTCGCGTCTCTCTCTAATCTGCCCTAACGTACTAAATCTCTCACTTTCCCAGCCTGGGACTGGTGTCCTTTTTTACAAGTACCTTAGCATCAGGAGTCTGCTGATGAAGATTTCCGGTTTGTTTTGAGTCACTCTTGGAGTGATAAATAGACTTTCTCCACTGAGAGGAAAGAAGCCAGCTGCCCTGAACGAAACACAAAATATGCAGAAATTCCGGCAAAACAGCACCGTTATAAAGTCTTTATGGAGAGCTCAATAAATAAGCAATTAAAAACATGGTGACAAAGGAATGGAGTTTTTACACACACACACACACACACACACACACACACACACACATGCATCTCAAACATGTAGACACATCTAGATGGTTGTCCTCTCTCCCCACCCGCCTTTCTTTAATTCTATGGCTGCAATTTCTTAGAAAATAATCCTAAAATAAATAAATAGATTTGACAAAAAAGTCATGCTGCAGTGTAATACTCGGCTGAATAAACAAACGATTTTAGTTGTGGTTTCATGATTTGACCACAAGCTTAAAATTCTGTTTGGTTTTTATTTGGTTTAGCAGGAACCTCTAATGCTTCTGGATAAACTTGTGTTTATGTTGTCAGCAGAATTCAGTGTGATGTTGGGTAATTTTTGTGTGTCTGCTTTATTTCTGCCAGATTTTACCCCACCAAAAATTTTATCAGAGAATTTTTAATAAAAATATCATACTTTGGAATTTTTCATTGTTCACTTAGTAATGTTGAAAGGACGTGGTAACATCATTTCTTCATTTTTCTTGCATCATTTTGTATTACTTTCTTTCCTAGTGATTAAGCCCAAATATAACCCTAACTCAGTCCCAAGAGTAAAGAATAGAGTGAAGTTCCCATCACTTAACAATTCAGATCAGATGTTTGCTTTTTATGCCCAGGAAATAAAATTCCACACACTTTGTGGCATATAGCATTTCCCCATATTATCGAAAATTCATTTCTTTCTTCAAAAAACATCCCAGAGAGCAAGAATACCTCCCTGAAGTTGTTGTAGAAAACCACATATTTTTCTATTCCATTCTGTTGAGTAGATTATTCAGGTTCTCAAAGATACACTACACTACTTTCTTGTGGAAATATTGCAGAGTTCTGTTTAATTGTGAATCTACTAAATGATGTAAGAAAACCTTAACTTACATCCTCTGTCTTTGTGTAGTATAATTTGGCCTTGGAAGTTAAACATAACTGAGCCACAAAAAAAGTACCTCTCATGGAACTTAATCCTCCAATATTTAGTCAGTAAACTACTTAGAATAATTGATTAAAAGAGTACTCCAACTTTTTTTAAAAAAATTAACCACTTACACATATATAGCATTTTCAGAAGATCCTTTTTTTCCCCCTTTACATGGGAAGAAATATATTTCTGCATTGTATTTCTGCACTAGGGCTTCTAAAAAATGAAGGAATAATGACTTCACTTATCGAACTACTATTTGATTCATATTTAATTCATATATAACACTCATATGATCAATTAAGTATGATTTTTTTAAGCTGAGTGACAGCCCTATTGTCTTTACATTTGAATGTGAACATTCAAAACAAATCCAAGGCAGATTTTTTAAAGTTTGTTTACTTAATGCATGTCAGTTCTGATGACATGCATTTTAGATAAAAAAACAAAACAAAAAACCCCCAGCAAACCTCTTAACTATTTCCATTGTGCCTGAATATTTTCCTTTCCTTTTTCAATCAGTAAGTTGTAAAAATATGTAATAATGTGACATTAAGTGCTCACAGTGTCTACAATACATTGAATCATGATTTCATCTATGAAACTTGGATAGTGCTAAATGGTTCTGTAAAATGATCAGAAAACATCTGAATCGTTAAATGGCACCATAATACATGTTATCAAAGTGGATGAGTGAAGTCAGTCCAATCTACTGAAATGGCAACCTGGCCCCAATCCAATTCACAAGAATAAGTCAGGTAATAATGAATTGGATCCAGTTGCTTCCATTCACTGATGAAATGGAAAACGCTGGTAGAACAGACCATGTTTTTGTGTTACAGTTCCAGACTTGGTTTTGCAAATCTATTATCTTCTAACTTGGATTCTTTCTTTCTTATTTTTTTTTTTAGAAAGGTCCTTTTTTCTCTGTGTGAGAGAAGATGTGGGGGCCATACATATGGGTTGGGTAGCAGGATAGGAGGGAAAGAAGTAGTTTGTGAAATTGGTAGTTTGTTTTTCTGCAATTGAAATTCAGTGTAAAATACATTATGCTTCAGAATGTGCTTTTCTTTTAGAATGTGTATTACTTTTTAAATTATGACATTTAAAAAACACTAAATCCATTTGATTGAGATAGTACACTTGGTGTGACATAAATGTGGATTGGCTATGAATTGGTCCTGCTTGATCTTTTCCCTAATACAATACCATTTGTCCCAAAATGAAACTATCTTGGTTTAATTTTATTTATTTTAAAAAAGGCAACTCATTTGGTTATTTCAGAATTTCATTCTGAGTCAGAGAAATTGAAAACCTTTTTTTTTAAAAAAATCTAGTGGGCAGTCGTAAAAGTGTATTCTCCTGTGCAATATTAAATATGAGAAAATGGAATATGAATTTTATATGGATATTTATCAATCTCTTGATGTTCCTGATTCAGGCATGTGGAAAGCAAATAATTGTGGGAAAAAATGATTTAAAAGCCCAGTTTTGCGCTTGTTTGTGGGGGAATAAATGTAGGCATATCTTCTGAGAAAAATCTGTACAGAATTAGATCTGGACAAATAATGGTCCATTTTATTTTCCAATATAAACATTATGCTTTCAGAGACTTGGATTTTTTCCCCCTGAAAAACGATTAGTTTTGTATTATTTTATAGCAACTCGAAGGCAAATTGAGAAAACATTTCTTATTCTTTCTGTCATAGCTTTGTCACTGATACATCTCTGCTACTAGACTTTATTCTGAAGGACCCTAGTTTTCTGACTTAAAAGAGATAGAATAATTTCTTTGAATATTTATATATATATTGTCTCATATCATATGCTCAGGGAAGAATACATGACCAGACTTTAGAGAGAGGTGTAGATAGGCTCATCCACAAAATGGATGATAATCTGCTTGGTGAGTAAATTAGCTAACAGATTGCAAAGCCCGTACAATTCTGTTTGCAGTATTTGATGTTAGGAAATGTGTCACAAGAGGCCATACTTAGGGAAAAGCAGAATTTTAAGTACCTGCCTGATATTATAAAATGTTATTAAGTTTATATAAATGGTGTTTATTTTAACTTTGGGGCATTTTTTAAAGGGCAATGCCACAGAGATTCACAAGTTTGTTTTAGGTAAATTTGTGTCACTTTTGCTTTCATGATGTTTGTGACTGTAGCGATGCTTTTTTCTGTAAAGTCTTTGAGAACATTAGGAATAAATAAATTGAAATCTGATACTCTTCACCCAACACATTACTATTACTCTTGAAGGGGTACACTTTAAAATTGCCAAAAAGCAACATTTGCTTTTGCTGAATTATGTTTCCAACGCTATTTTATTTATGATTCCTGAAATAGTTTGGTCCCTGCATTATTCTGACTCCAAATACAACAATTTAATATGTTTTCCATTTAACTCATAGATCAGGCGTTTTTTTTCCTGTCCCTGGGAAGGTTTAAGTCTAGACTGCTGTAGCAGTAAATAGAATACTACAATTAATTTAAAATAACAACTAAATAACTAAATAAATGAAACTGAATGAGGAGTAGTGCAAAACAATAAAGTTCAAAATCAATAATATAATACAGTAACACACTACAGTCCAGTTTAACATAACAGCTAAAATACAGAACTTTAGTAACTGGAATAGCACTTAACATTTAAACCAGGGGTGTCCAACGTTGGCAACATTAAGACCATACTTGGATGGGTAATTCTGGGAATTGAAGTTCATAGTTTAAAGTTGCCAAGGATGGACAACCCTGGTTTAAGCAGTTGTTAAAGTCTCTAACAATTATCAGAAATTATTCACCTCTCAGCCCATTTCAAAGTTCTGTTGTTGATCACTTATAATCAAGATGTCTTTCCTGCTATGCACCCTTCCTGACCTTGAGATTCTTGATGGGGGCCTAGGCCAGGGGTAGGCAACCTTGGCTCTTTTATGACTTGTGGACTTCAACTCCCAGAATTCCTGAGCCAACCATGCTGAGGGGAAAGGGAGAGGTTTCCAAGCTGTGCCATGCTGGCTCAGGAATTCTGGGAGTTGAAGTCCATGAGTCATAAAAGAGCCAAGATTGCCTACCCCTGGCCTAGGCCTTTTCAGTTGTTATGGAGAGCCATATCTTGGAGATAGTCTAGTACCCACAATATTGTATGTTTGTCCTGTCAGCCATAGAGGTGGAGTTCTCTGTACAGTAGAGGCAAGAAGACTATAGTTCTGTGGAAACGACTTAATGCTTTATTCAAACTCTAAAACCCAGCAATTGAAGTCCAGGCGCAAAATACTGACATATCTGTGTGGCTGTGGAGATAGATTCTTAAAATCAGGAAAATAGCGCTTCTGTGTATAAGCATGCACTCAGCCAGGAAAATAACTGCCAGATTTAGAATTCACATTTAGCCACAAGTCTGTTCCTAGTTTCTACTCCCCCTCCCTCATCAGCTCCCCTTTTAAATCAAAGAACCAGTTCTTACAATAGTTGATTAAAACTTGTTTCAGTCCCTGCAAAACACCTAGAATTCCAGCAATCAATCTCAATCTCCTTCCTTGCTACATTCTGCTCTGTAGAGATCTTGAACAGAAAAGATCAGTGTGCAAAGAGTGAAAATACGAAGTATCCAAAATCTCTGTTTTCTTAAACAAGCAGAAGGGTTTTTTTTTTTACCCCTCACACAAATATTTTAGGTTCTCCCTCTCTCCCTCCCTCTCTTTTTATAGAAACTGGTTTTGTTTTGTGTGTATGTGTGTGAAGGGTAGATGCATGTATAGGTGTGTGTGTATGTGTGAGATATGTTTCATTTCCAGCTCCCAGTATAGCTAACAAACAAACTAAGCAGTGGGTCACTGATTGCTGATTTAGGTTTGTTCTGGTGGTCGGTCGCTGGGGAAAGACAGGTCAGGTTGCTGACACAGCTCAAATCAGACAAAACATTCTGGCTTTGTACTTCTCTGCTGCCTCTTTTAGAAAATTGCTCAAGTTGTTCTTAACATAACCACCCACCTTCCTTTTCTGGTTCTGACATTGTGTAATAATAGATAGTGTTGACATCTGCTCCCTGCTGATCAGAAATACTATACTTCTGTGAAAGGTAACATTTTCAAGAAATGACAAAATGTATTTGGCTTGGACAAGACGTGAGTTCTTTGCCTAATCACACATTGTGGGATATGGGGGTAAAAGGTTTACTGTTCTAGTTGTGGGAGAAAGTTTGTTGGGACAGGGAACACAGCAGCCCTGGGTGTGTTTAGTTTCTGCCAGTTCTAGAGGTCCTGGCTCTATATCAAAACTTGTGTGTCCTCAGGAATTTAAAAGAAACATTTGCAGTATGTATGAAGAACAGCTGTCTCTGGTTGGGTTGAGAGCAACTTTTCAAAACGACTATTTGAACATTTTCTCAAGGAGGGATTAGCTGTGGGGCATTCTCTCCTCCTCCCCTCATCCTGGCTATTTTTATCGATTAGCATTACATTGTTGTAGCTTCGGGAGAAGAGAGAGCATTTTATATATATTTCCCATCAGAGAAATATTTCCCAAAATAAAAAAAGAGGAAGAGGCAGCTAAATCCTGTTAAGCAAATTTGCTCTGAAGAAGTAGCTAAGCCACTTAATAGAAACTCTATAGAGAACTGCCCCCCCCCAAGAAAATACAGGAAAGATTGCCACATCCAGATTCCAGAAAAGTTCCTGTGCTTTAAAGAGTTAAATAGCAGGGAGGATTTCACCAGGTACAACTTCCTTTTCACTTCAGTGTTGTGATGTGTAAACCTGCAGTTGGTGGAACATTTGTGTTCAAGCAGCATTAAAAAAAAAAAACAAAACATAACTTTTAGAAACAGGCATTCTGCATTTCTTTTTCTGGAGATATACTGGGCTGGAAAAAGAAAAGAAAGGAAGAAATAAAAGGAAAGAAAGAAAAAAGAAAAGAAAGAAAAAAGAAGGAAAAAAGTGCATTCATTCTGTTTTCTAAGCTCTTGATTTATACCACAGTGACAGATTTTCTTTTGAGCTACATTGGAGTTCCTTTTCCAGAAAAAATGTTTTTCTATTGTGTAAATAGATTTTAAAAACAGATGGTGTAGAGTTCTCACTTTGTTAAAAGTAAGACACTCTTTATATGCTAAGTATACATTTTCTCACTGGCTATTTTACATGTTTGGTTTAGTGGCTAGGGCACTAAGCTAGAAAGTGGGACACAGTAAGTTCATGTTCCACTTTAGCCATGAAAGCTACCTGGGTGATTTGGGCCAGTTTCTGTTTCTGAGCCAAACCCACATCATAGGGTTGTTGTTGTGGGGAAAATAGGAGGAGGAATATAGTCATATATAATCATGCTGGCATATAGTCCTGCTGGCCACATGACCATGGAAATGTCTTCGGACAACGCCTGCTCCTTTGGCTAAGAAATGGAGTTGTGCACCACCCCCTAGATTTGGATATGACTGGTTAGGGGAAAATCTTTACCTTTAGTATTATATCATAGACGAAAGCCTTGGCTTTAGTTTAAGCCAGGAATGCCATTTTATATAACTCCAAAAATCTTTTGAGTGGCAGAATGCTAGGAAAATTTCCAATCAAGCCTTCACAGAAAGTGCTGGACTTCAGTTCCATCAATCAGTGGCCACATGGCTTTATGGGAGTTAAGGACACCACCCATCTGGAGCTCCAAACTGGAGGCTGAAGTATTATAAATGTTTTGTTAATTCTCAGATTCCAGACCATTTAGAGCTTCCTAGGAGACTATGAGTAATAAAATAAAAGCTGAGCAATTTTTCAAATAGGAAATAGCCTATTTCATAATATCTCAATGCCTTCTGTGTGCACTGTACACCTATGGGCCATGAGATGTTTGTCTGGGGTGGGCAATAAAGTCACGGTAGGCTTGTTTTAACTCACATTGAGGAGACTGTTTAAAAATCAATCAAGTATTTTAGGAACTTACTACTAGCTAAGTGATATGGGTATAGGTTACCTGACAAATAGTCTCTACCTCAATGGGTTTGGCCCACCCTACTCACTCTGGCAGAAGGGGCTCCAGATACCATCAGCCAAGGAATTCAGGCTGGTGGGGTCCAGGAGATGAGCCTTCTCTGCTGTGGCTTCTACCTTCTGGAACATCATGCCCCTCAAGGTGAGATTTGCCCCCACCCTCTTGTCTTTCTGAAAGAACCTGAAAACCTGCCTCTGCCAACTTGCTCAGGGGCATCCCATTCTGGAGGTGACTAGTAGATAAGGAGACAATCCCTCCTCCACAAAATTTATTCTTTTTATTTGCTTTGTTGGCAACTTTAATGTTGTAACTATCAGTTCCCAACATATTAATGTTTTTAGTCTTCTAGTTGCTTTATACTTTATTTACAGCATTGTAACTACCCAGGGTCGCTTGATAGCAAGATGGGTGGCATATAAATTCAGTAAAAAAGAAGTATCTAAAATCTTACAAGGTTCAGATCAGATGTGAATTGAGTAGGGGGTGGGCTGCACATACCAACTCCCCCTTGTTGCATGTACTGAAATTACCTATGTCAGGGATGAGTTTGGTGAGTGAAAGGATGCATCTCAGCACTTTCCACATTTAGAATTGCTGGATGTAGGTGTGTGCATATAGTGTCCATCAAGTGCAGTGATGTTGGGACAAAATAGTGGCCAGTGGGTTGGGTGCATGAGCGTTGTTATCAAAAATTTCTCCTGGGTGACAAGGTGAAATGCATTAAGAATTATTTATTTTTATTTATTTATTAAATTTGTTTGCCCCCCACCTTCTCACCACAAGATGACTCTGGGTGATTACAATGTTAAATGCAGGGAAAAAACACCTAACAAAAACTTTGAGCATCTATCAGATGAAACTGGCAACACTACAACCACTACCTCACTACCCATGAGGGAAGTGAAAGGACTCCGGCCAACTCCGGGATTAGTGAAGGGGATATGTGTGATGGAGCACAGAGAAGGAGTGAGAAAGAACTACACTCTGATGTAAGACACACACTCAGATTACAGCATGCTCAGCTGGGACCCGTGACGCGGTCTAGGAGCCGAGTGCAGATGATTAGCAATTGCATATAAGCTTTCCCAACAACTGCCTTTTACATCCTGACGATGTCAAGAGCTCTTGACGAAAGCTAGGTTCAGTAAATAAATTTTTTATATTTTTATTCTCTTGGTGATCGACTTTTTAATTAATTTTAATATATATATATATATATATTCTGAGTTTTTTGCAGGTGTTTGTATGTAGGTCTTTGGTTATTCGGGTTTTCTCCCACGTAAAATTGGAAGTGTCTTGGTGACGTTTCGACGAAGTCTCATTCATCATCTTCAGGCTGGTGCTTTCGGCTTCGTGCTTCCCCACCCAAACAGAACACTCCCCCAGCCAATCAGAACACAGCCAACCCCCCAGCCAATCAGAGTATAGCCAAGCTCCTAACCAATCAGAACACACCTCCATCCAATCAGAACACAGCCAACCTCTCATCCAATCAGTTCATACCCCCACTGGCAGTTAAAAGGAGGAAACAGCTACAATCACACATTGCTCCTAGAAGCACGATGCCGAAAGCACCAGCCTGAAGATGACGAATGAGACTTCGTCGAAACGTCGCCAAGACACTTCCAATTTTACGTGGGAGAAAACCCGAATAACCAAAGACCTACATATATATATAATCATCATCAAATTAGCCATTTTCTATCCACTGCAGGATGAAGGATATATATATATATGATTAGAAATAAAAACAAAAATGCGACTCTTGGGAGTATTCATATTGTCAAAATAATGATCACCAAGAGAATATCTATCAAAAATAGAATTTAATCCACCAAGCTTTCGTCAAATACATTTGACATCGTCAGGGTTAAAAGGCAAACGCCGGGGGAAGTCTTATATACAGTTGTTTAATGCCTGTTTCCGGCTCCTGGAGCGTGTCATCGGCCCCAGCTG